AATATTTCTTTCTCCCCGAGGCACATTTAAAATATATATTTCTTTTAGGTACGCTATCTTTCTCATTGTCATCTTATTCGTTAACTTGTCGATGGCGATAATATTAATTAATTTAAATCTAAGATTTTTTACTCAATACGACTTAAAGTGCAAAGTAATTTTTATTGTAAATATGTACACAATACTTCAGCAGGGGACATCAAAATACCAAAACATAAATATTTTTATACTATTAAAAAATATTTGAAAATATATTTTTTGAATACATTAATATCTTTCTTTTGCTTACATTAAAGTAGTACATTTTTTACCTTGGTTTGGTCAATTGAGTTGTTTTTGTAATACACTTCGATTAATATTTATTTTATGTAAAAAACAATCATGGCAGAAATAATGTATCAGCCTTGATCCCTCTTATATTGCTCATGGTAATTTTATATAACCTAAGGTACTAGTTCAGTTTTATAGGACTATCTAAGTTACTTAAAGTGTTATTATAGAATTTTGAAGTTCTTATTTACATTGTAGTAACTGTTGTTACTACAACTTGTAGTCTACAAGTGATGTTATAAAACTTTTGATAGGCAACCATCTAACCGCTCAAAACTAGTGTTGTCAGGTTCGCCATTTTTGCCTGCAGTATTAATAGTTTTAACGCAATGGAATTAACTTAATCCACTTTTTTCTCCAAATTTTTATGTTATAAAAATTATACAGGGTGAGTTTTAAGTTGACGCGTTCCTTTTAACAGTGTGTAGAAATCAGCTAGACAAATAAATATTTTAAGTAACTTTTTTATCAAAACTCAAAAATAAAAAAGTTATAGCCCATCAAAGTTTAATTAAATTTTAAGCCGGTCCTGGCTATTGTTAACGAAAAACATAACCATAAAAATATCAAAATAAACAATGCAAAATGTCATATTTGACAACAAACATAACCATTTAAATCAAATTGACATTTTGCAATAAAAAATGTCAGTATTTACCTAAGTTGCAGCATTTGCATTTTGACGACACTCTCCATAAATTAGTAACATTTCCACTAATTCATTATTGCTATACTTAATTATGAACCATTTTTAACAATAATTGAGGCACAAAAAAACTTAAGTAAATAATGACATTTTTCATTGCTAAATGTCATTTTGATTTAAATGCTTATGTTTGTTGTCATAGATGACATTTTGCATTGTTTATTTTGTTATTTTTATTTTTATGGTTTTGTTTTTTGTTAACAATAGCCAGGACCGGCTCAAAATTTAATTAAACTTGGAAGGCCTATAACTCTCTTATTTTTGAGTTTTGATAAAAAAGTTACTTAAAATATTTATTTGTTTATCTGATTTCTACACGCTGTTAAAAGGAACGCGTCAACTTAAAACTCACCCTGTATTACTTATAGATTATATGCTAAATATTTTCTTTTCAACCAATTTTTAATTAAAATCATAAAAAAGCACTGCGTCGAAAGCTAATACTATGCTTAATTTCTGTTTCAATTTCTAAACATTTTGTTTTATTAAGCACATAAATAATTAATAACTCACAAATTTTATTAAAAAAAATTAAAGACACAATAGTTTTATAAAACAGGTAACCGCAAACTTTATAAAACTCCTTTATAAACCTACTGGTAACGGTTACTAAAGGTTATATAAAATGTTTGTAGAAACAATTATACAACCTAATTATATACCTAGAGGTTACAGTAACTTTATATGACCATTATAAAACTAGTAAACTAAATGGCGATTTTATAGAACCTTGTTAAACTTTGATATAATTTGACTACTCTTATATAACCTTCAAATAATTTATCGTTACCATAAGTAGTAGAAATTGTTTATTGGGGTGCCTTAGGCAACCCTAATTGTTAAAAACTAAAATGATCTTGAAAAAGAATCTTAGTCAAAAATCCCTAAATTTAAAGTTATTGCCGCTTTTTTTTTCGTCAATTTTTAATTTTCAAGCACTTGGTGTATGTATACGGTGCAGCGACGCAGTGACGTGAAACGCGCACATGGCACGTGGGGTGGCGTCGTTTTATCCATGCGGGATAACGTCGTTTTTCTTTTATTATTATTATCCTAACGTTCGACGCATATGCCCGGCTTTCCAAAGCTCACTACAATACAACCTGGTTGATCGATAAAGTAAATAGAAATACTCGGTGACTCACTGCCCGTAATCAAGTTCAATCGATTTTTATCCCCTACAAGTTATTTTTGTTTTCAGTCTAATCGATTTCCCTCTGATAATTAATAAGTTCGTACTTATAAACTCCATTAAGATTGCATTTTGAAACGAATGTTCTTACACATGGATAAATATAATAAGTAGGTACCTACAACAGAAAAAATCTAACACTTAAAATTTTTTAAAGCATAGGTACCATACAAAAACATAAATTTTTATAAGCTGTTTTTCTCTTCATTTTAACTTAAAATTAAATTAATTAAATTAATTTAGCTTGTAAGTAAATGTACGTTTTATTAACATTATAGTTCGCCATATGCGCCGCTTTGTATAAAACATTCAACAAACCGAGATATAATCGCCCCACACGAAATCATTTTTTTTTTACTTTTATTTACGTTTAAGAGCTATTTTTAAACTTTAAGGTTCGTTTCCAGCATAAAGCAAAGTAACAAGTACCTACCTACATATTAAGATGGTAGAGATTTGTTTGTTATTTTTTAAAACCGTTTATTCCGAGTATAAAAATACCCTGTATAATATTCTAAATTTCTACCCACCAAGGGTTCGTCCATAAGGATGTCACACATATTTTTTTGATTTTAGAAAACGCCTCCCCCTGTCACATATTGCCACAAAGTCCCGACACTGTCACAGTGGCGTAGCGACAAATTTCGGGCCCCCCGCGAAAATCCTTACTGGGTCCCCTGATTTCAGGTATTTTTTACATGGTTTTATATTGTAAATAAAAAATAATACATCCGGTGACATGATTTTTTAAATTATTTATAAACGAAAAGTAACAAAGAAATAATTAAAAAAAAATAATTAAAAAAAAAATAAGTTTCTCCACTGTACCTACTTATAAATTATAAGTAAAATAATAGAAAATAATAACATATTTTTTTAACATAAAAAAAATAACCTTAAACTATAATAATTTTTTCAGGCATCCTTGAATAGGTATATTTAGTTAATAATATTTACTCAGTAACTGTATGTATTAAACTCTCTATAATATTAAACAAACCAATAATAAAAGAAATACTTACATGTAAATACTAGACCACTTTGTGCTCACCACAGCTGACCGGCGAGAAACGCATGTAAAACAGTGGAAAAATAAAATAATCAAAAGCAGTCACAAATAAGAACCTACTTGAACCAATACGAATATAAAACAAAAACAAACTAACAACTTGTGAATCACAATCGTCAAAATTTTAGGGGTTCGCAAAGAGAACGCTTCAGAACTGTCAGAATAATAAGCATAACGAAATGCGCATATCTGCTTAGAGTTAGGCGCATGTTTCAAAGTTCTGAATCGTTCCTGCGTAAACCCGCTGTCAATTGTTAAATAAGCGCGATTTTTAAAATTCATGAAAAGGTTCCGTTAGATGTTTTACATTTATGTTGTGATGGTAGGCCAATAATATCAAGTACCTACCTACATTTTAGTAAATTATGATATTTTTAATTAATCATTCTTTATTATTCAATTTTTAGTATAAGTAAGATGGAAATAAGTATTTTAATGTTTTGGGGCAAGTATCGGCCGGGCCCCCTACGAGGTTAGGGCCCCCCGCTTGGCGGGCGTTCGCGGTACTGTCGCTACGCCACTGCACTGTCACAAGGTAAGATGTCACACTCAGATTTTTTGTAAATTTAATTAATATTATAAAACAATTTTTAGTCTAGCTTAATATGTATTTTCTTGTTTTACAATAGAATTATATAGGTACCTACTCTACTTCTTATAAAAACAACATTTTGAGTTACCCTGTATATACAATAATACTGTTACAATATTGTCGTTTAAACAATACGGGAATGGTACTCTTAAAAGGGCAATGCACGTAGTTCAAGTATTGATTATTTTATCCATAGTGAGGGGGTGCATACATATGTATAAACATATGATTCATCCCTTATATTGTATTAAACGGCTTGGCACGTGCGCTTGTCATTAAATAGCACATCCTTTTTATAGTACCTGTATAATATTTGTGAAAGGAAATATGTTTCATTCAGTTATTGTATGTACAATATCAATATTTATATAAAATGTACATACAGTACATTTCCCATCCTTTTGGAAAAAAACTAAATATTATTTTTATTTATTTTGCGTTCATAATGACTTCATTATAGCACCGCTTTCGGTGCTGTAATGAGATACTTTATCCCACCCAAAATTTTGATTTTAGGTTGGCTATACTTTATACAGCATAATATTTTGCATATTGGTTATAATATTTTTATGATTTTTCTAGTACTTACGAGACTTTTCTGGCAATAAATTTTGTTTAACACCAAAGAAAATTTTTTTCTTCTTTAACATTAACAGCCGCTTATTGTAAATAAGTAAATTAAGGACGGCATGGCGAATCGATTTTGACATTAACTGTCAAACCAATGACTATGATACCAACTATCTAAAGTAAAATTCGACCAAATTAAATTTAAGGTATAAAATTATTTTTTTTATAGAATTTTTGCAAAATAGATAAAATAGCATAAAGAACTCATGTCATAAGACCTTTTGTCGCACTCGTCCATTACAAAACTCGCTCGTTTTATAAATTGTCCGCGTGCGACAAAATGACGTCTTATGACATTAGTTCTTTAATGTACTATTTTATATCAAAGTATTAAATTATACACGTCACAGTCTATTTTCTAAATTAAAACTTAATCAATCTCAATATGCGAAATTTCGTATATCTGGCAACATTATTTCTACCTATACTGCAACACTGTCGCCTCCATCTTTTTTATAACCTCAAAGAATCACGTGGAAGCGTTTTTTGATGCTGCTAAAAAGTCCTGTTAAAGCTTAAAAAATGTCATTTATGAACTCGAAAGGTAGGGTAAACATTTTTTATATTTATTTTTTATAAAATGTATCGATTTATTAGTTGATTTATCGGTGTATTGAAATTCTAACCTATAAGAAAAACGTGGTCATTGTATATTTTTTAATTACAAGATTATACTTACATACATACATATATAACATAGGTATACTTAAGAGCAATCGAATTGGATAATTTACAACATTTGCTGTTGTTATTTTGAAAATTATAGGAAAGTCTGCCAGTTTATTTAAAATATATTGTTAATGTATTACTAAATTATGTAGCAGTCAATTTTTCTGAATTAAAGTTTTAATTTAAAAAATTGGCATAATAAGAAATTTTTAACACTGTAAGGGAAATCTGGTTAGATCTGGCAATAATGAAAATCATATTATACACTTGCGCATCCTTACACGCAACACGGGTTTTACACCTTTGTTATTGTTTTGAATATTTTACAGAATGTCTGCCAAAGGTATGTTACACTGTGTTTGCAATGATTTTGTTTGTACTAATAGACTAAACGTTATACAGGGTGTTCTAAGAATTCGTAGTAGTATTCTACTTTTTTTGTTTTTTATGTACAAAACCTAATTTGAATTGTTTTGTTTTAGTGAATCTGAAGGCAAAACAGAGAAGGATCATTGAGATGTTCAATGTGCAAAAATGGGTGATTGGAAAAACATATGAAATAAGAGTTGTACATATGTACAACCCGAGTACCATATGGATTGTATCAAAGCACAGGTCACTGGAATACTTTCGAACAAAAATGAACAAATTTTTCAGAGAAAATTTTATCAGCCTAAGAATGCCTTACAGAGAGATTGTTGAAGGCTTATATTGTGCTGTATGTAGAGAGGGGCAGTTTTACAGAGGTCTGATCATAAAAGTATTCGGGCCATGTTCAAACAAAATGAAAATTGTGATTTCATTCATTGATTTTGGCTCTTTGGCTGTTGTGGATCCAAACTTGATTTTTATCTTGCCTGATAATATGTTTGCAGTCCCAGCCTTTGCTATTAGAGCAAGAATTTGGAATATAAGGCCTTTTGATGCTAATGCATGGTCCGATGAAGAGATTCACAAAGTATCATTGATAATACAAAGTGGAGCAACATGTTGCGTCATTGACTATGTTGATAAACAATTTAACATGCTAAATATAAGACTTGGCATCATGGATAAAACCGGAAACCATGATATTGCTCACCAATTGGTTAAAGAAAATGCGGTCTTGCCCTATAACGGAATCTATATCAGAGACAAGTTTGATGATTTTACCAAAAATGACTTGATAGATCTATACAAAGCGTTCGTCAAGAGTTGCTCAATGCTAGTATCTAGTGATGATTCATCTAGTGATGAGTCATCTGAAGATGAAGATGAGGAGGACAAGACCCCAACTGATGAAGGTGCATCAACCAAGAAGGGTTCAGATGAATATGGAGGTGCATCAACCAATAAGGTTCCAGAGGAAGATAAAGGTGCCACAGCTTTATGTGATAAATACTTAACCTCATCCAAAACAAATCATCCAATTCATACAGACTTGTCCAACTTTGATAAAATAGCTAAACCTCTTGGTCAAGATAAAGATGAAGAAATTGAAATAAACATAATAACTTCATCAGCTGCCAAATATTTGAAGTTCCTTCAACCAATGCACTTTAGGGTTGAAAATGGCTTGGTACCAAAATCTATTCATGAATGTGACCTTAAGACGTGCATGTCAATTGACAGAAGGATCTCCAGGGCCAAACCAAGGAAATAACTGATTTTGACATTTTTTATTTGTTTCAGAATGAATGTTTTTTTTTGTTTTGAGTTGTGAAAATATCTCATTTAGTCAAAAACAATATTTTTAAAGTGTATATTTTCATATTTTTTTAAAAAACGTATGCTTTTTTGTTTTGAATGATATGTTGTATGATTGAATAAAAATGTGATTACCTACAAAATTGTTTAGACTGAAACTACTTTGTACCTTTTTATAGAAAATAAAGTTTCTTTAAACATTAACACGTTTATTTATTACATTGCATCTTTTTTGTCAAGTACTAATTTTTATAAATATAAAGTGTTATCTACTGTAAGCGCACGTGTCCAATATTCTATTTTATTTAGATAGAGTTTTGACGGTTAGTGGATATACTATATGTGTATTTCCACAAAGGCCACTGAGAATTCAAACCCCATTTTAAAAATAATATCTAAAATATTCAATCAAATAGAAACAATTTATTTTTATTGATATATAATTCAACAACATTGTTTTATTTTTTCATATTTTCAATGAAATAATTTTCAGTTTTTTTAATTAAAAGGTAATTAATTATACCTTCAAATTTAGAGTTTATAATTTAACAAATATATAGGTTTGTATCAATAATCTTAAATGAATTCTTAATTTGCCTGGAATAAATAATTTTTAAGACAAAAAATTAGGGGTTGAATATCTTTGGCCCGTTATTTATGTGTTGCACCTGGTATGGCTCGCGCTACATACAGGGTGCAATGCAGTGCAGGGTGAATGCAAATTAACCGCCGATGGTACGACGATAAGGGCGCATACCCCCTCGAAACAAATTTTCGACCAACACCCCCTACACCCTTATTTTCAGCAGTGCGTCTCTTTTCAACCAACACTTTACTGCTTGCAAACCACCGGCTATTTTCACTTTCACATATAATGTGCGAGTGTGTGTGCGTTTGGCTGGTGGGTTGATTAGTGCCAATTGTTTGGCAAAGCATCAAAAACCCTAAAACGTTTTTGCTATAACGATATTTTCCTTTAGGACCTTTAGAATCTAAGGCCAAAAAATTTAACAATTTTGAAATATCAATCAATTTTTAAGGTTATTCTTAGTTTTTACATCAAGGTCATTAATGTCAAATATGCAAATATGTCCATTTCAAGGCAGTGCCGGACTAAGGCCAAAGGGGGCCCGGGGCTTCAAAATTAAATGGTTTTTTATTATTTAAATACCTAATATTAAATTTTTGAGTACGTAGATTCTTCGCAACCGCCTCCCCTCGCAAGACGCAAAATAAGCCCCCAATTCTAAATGACTTTTCCTGACTGTGAAAGATATTTGATATTAACTACTTAATAGATTTTTTTGGAAACTAAATTAAATTAACTAAATTTCCCTTATTCTTAATTTAACGTTATCAAGGTCATTATTGTCATATATGATTTATAGTTTTTCAAGGTCATGTTAACTTTTTAGTATTTATAATATATACTTAATGTTATTATTTGTATATATTGATATGTACCTATTTTATTAATTATAAAACCTATATGCACCTGTAACCTAGGAAGCAATAATCCATACTAGACCCGACAAAAGTGCAAAAGGGCATGGTCACGTGTCCAAAAACGGTTGTCTATTGTGGGTGTTATTCATAGAGAGAAGAATATTGAAAATATCCAGGTAAAAATCACCTGCAACGAGCAGGTTCACATCTATTCACATTTTTGTGGCTTAGCGTGAAAAAGTACAATATGGGTCACTTGAAAGTGTAAATATTTGCTGAAAACATCTTAAGTCTACGCTGAAAGCTGATTATTCTCATTGTTGTGCTTTTTTTTCTATGCTACTGTTTGCAGAAATAACTGTTTCATGAACAATAACTGTTCAAGGGTTTACTTTGTTCGAATTCTTTGAAAAATGTTTAATTAACATTTAGTCCTACAAAGAGTTGCTTGTGGTAGTTTAAGTTGGTCTATGATTTTAGTACCTATGTCATTCTTTAAGCTTGTTTTATTTTCTTATGTGTAACACCAAAGTAATATTTTCAATTAGATCAAAAATATCATATAAGAATTTTTATTCTGCGAAATAAAAATGTCATGGCAGATCTTTAAAAATAAATTAAATTTTCACGCCAAACTGATATTTTGATTGATAATTTACTGAATTTTAAATATCTGTTTCTTATATTTGTATTTTTTAGTTAAATGCAAATTTTTAATTAACTTAATTAAAAATATCATAGGAGAAATTTTTTATTTTAATTTTTTCTTGAATGTGATATTTTTTATTCATATTGAAAGTTTGGACACCCAAAACTAATTCTGTCCCTAGATGGCGGCACAATCACTGGGATCTACGAGTGGGTCGGGTTTTGTGGCGTTTGGAATAACAGGGGTATCCAAACTCTTAATCAGTCGGAATTAAAAATATCTGCTTATTTAATGAAATAAAAATTAAATTCTATGATATTTTTAATACTTTAAAAAATGTATCCCATATTTTTAATTGAGCGAATTTTAGGTCATTTAGGTATTTAGCACTACGGGCCTAACTTTTGTAAATTGTTAATCTTGGTACTCTTATTTTATTAAGTAAGGTGGTGAGTTTATTTTGCGTGGTAGGTACCTTGATAGGTACTTGCTTCCTTCTGTGCAAGGTACCTAAGATCCGGCGGAAGCCCAGTTCAAGTCTAACCTGTCGCAGGTATTTACTAAAGCGTAAATAAATTCCTTAACCCTCATTGTTTTAAATCTAACGGATGTGCGCCGTTTAATTCGATCCCTTGAAATCATTAACGACAATTCCGTTCAAAACCAGACAAATCCACTCGATCTCGATTAGAAATTTTAAATTAGAATGTTCAAAATTACAAAATGTATGAGTAGAGTAGCACGCGTTTTTGAATGCGATAAGGCGGAGATGTTCGTGGGCTAGCGACAGGAAGACTTATTTATTGGTCTAAAAGAAAAGGAAGCACTATAGGGGCCGAGTAAATGCACGTGTGCTTTGATTTTATTCAAAGCAAGACGACTTTTTAGCAACTTCCTTGTCAAAAAGGCCCAGACATCCTTTCAAAAAATGAACAATCACTTTTAATAATAATAATAATAAATAAAAACGCTGGTGAAATCTTCAAGCTAAAATACGTTGTAAATAATGTCTATCTATGATCTATTTCCTCAACTAAAGTCACGCTTGTGACTTCAACGTACACTTTGGGCGGGATTTTTCATCGCGACATTTCGAAGGCCTCATAATCTAAATTGACATCAGAAGGCAATTTCACACAGAATGTTTGAAAACTTTACTGAAGTAGTTCTTATTTTGTCGGCGAATTCAGCCAGGTTATCCGGCGTCTCTAAATATTTAAAAGTACTTGAGATAGTGCATTTTATAAATAACACTTCATTCATACAAACATATGAGTTTATCTTTATCTATACATATAATTGTGGACTAAGGTTACAGAAAACTCATTGAGATGGTGACTTTTTCCTTATATAGGATAATAATGACTTTTATGTTTTGTAATTATAAAAAAACAATCTAAAATATTTTATCTTGTTTAAAATATACCTACATATACAGTATGGTAATTAGCGCCAGCGTATTAAGCAAATAGTTAGACCTTAGTGCTAAATACATTAATCTCTATAATTATCCACTAGGTAAAATTTTTGCTGACAGTATCATTATCAAATAAAGATGTTAAAATCAATACAAGTCTGAATTTTAATAAGGACCTACCACTCTTAAAGCATATGGCATCAATAGGTCCCGACAGGAAATGGGGAAGTTGACAAAAATTACCAATATCTAGAAATTTCACGCTCAAAATTTCTTGATAATAACTGTCAAGTCCAGCATGGACATTGAATTTTGAAAACATGAAAAATTATAAAAAAATGTACCGATCTTGGATTTTTTTTCTATGAATCTTTGGTTAACAATGATTTTATATATTTTGCCAAGTGCTATCGGCATTGTAACTTAAAGATTATGGGCTTTTAGTCAAACAAGTGACAACCTTCCTGAAGGCTATACGTTACACTTAATGATTTTTCAGAAGGAATATAATACAATTTCAGTTTCTAAAATGGTACCCATTAACAAGAGGTCATTTAGATTTGTCCAGCCAAAATAAGTTCAGAATTAACCGCGATTTGTTTTGGTATCTAAAAATAATTACCAAGCTAGACAAAAACGTTATATGTCAAAGCTTGAGTTGAGTTATGTATGGTTTTAAGTTTCATCACAGAGTATGGTCTATGGTTTCATGTAACTAAACAGCGAAATCTGCGGTTCTAAAATGTTGTTTATTTTTCAATAAATCCATGACCTTATTTCCTTTACGTTTTTTTTCCTTCAACAACCACATCTGCATATGCGTTTATTAACATTTTCAAAAAGGGGGACTTAATGCATTTTGAAAGGAAGTGGCTTCGCTAAGAAATCACATATGGCGTTAAAAATCTCGGCTAAGTATTCCTGGAAATGATTTATTTAGAAGGTATTTATTTGCAAACATTTACCTTTAAAGGTGTTCAATTTTGATCGAGGCATGTAGTTTTGTAAAATACCTTACTAAAGCAATTTAACGCTAATAATATAGGCTAAACGTACTTAAAAAAACATGAAATTAAATTCCAAAAACAACACATTGTTATTATTTTGACTTCAGTTCACTTTGAAAACATTCAATACCCAGAAAATAATTAAGTTCTTGGTTGTGGGTGTTCCAAAACAAGAATTTTTCGAAAATTTGTCAATTTTTGATGGGTTTTTAAAAACCTCTTGAAATTTAGGATATTTACACAAGAATGGAGTGTACAAAAATGTACAGCATACGAATCTTAACAAACAGGTAAAGAGATTATAACGCACAATAGTCTAAAATAAAAAAATCACTCATTTTTAGTTTTTGCAATAAAATATATCGATATAACAAATTTTGTTAAATAAGAAAAGTAAAGTGAGTTTTTGACATTTTAAAATGGCAAACCTTTCTTAAATGTCTTAAAACTGTCGAAAAAATGGCTAAAAATAAAAAAAAATACTTAAGTTTGACCTTAAGAATTTCAGTTATATCATTTTGATCTGGAACACCCCCAAAATGAACTTTAATAATGAAAAATAAATTTATATATTTTTTCCAATAAAAAATTATTTTATATGTCTGTGCGCTAAAGCTTTGGCGCGCTTTCCTTGTCATAACGGTGCAAATATTTTAAAATTC